AGTCGATCTGACTGAAAAAAATGCAATGTACGCGGTATGCAAATACGAATGCAAAATGCATCGAAACATAAACCAGATGGGGAAACCGGTTGGTCGGATTTTAGGGTGCAACAATCTTGCATTTTGAAACCAAGCATATGGACTTGAATTTAATCTTTATTATGAGAATAATTTATCTTAACACACGAAGTCCTTGAATTTTGTTACATGAAACGGAATGTTGGGACCTTAGGCATTACTGCATCTGCACCAGTTGGTTAGTCGCAAAAAACATAAATATTAAAATAAAGTCAAATAACAATAGAAAAAACGCAAAAAGAGGTGGGATCCTTCGGTCAAAAATTAGGGTGCAACAATATTGAAGAACTGATAGGGAAATAGTAAAAGGGGATTTGTGTAAGGGTTAAGAATTTGTGAACCAAGTGATTAAAAATCAACAAAAAGAGATGCAAACATCATTTGGTAGCAACATCACAATGTTAGAACATAAATTTAGAGACAAAATTATGTATTCATAATCGGTCGATAATATATTTCAAACAAGATTCGTCTTTATTTATTAGGAGGCCATATGAGCAAATAAAACATGTACAAACAGCTCCAAGTCGGGTTGTACACTTAGAAGAACATACGGTCTTCCATGTGCTTGTTTATTTTCGAAAAATATGAAAATTTATAGACTTATATGTATGGATGAGGTTTACATGTACTAGAAATGACTCTACTTTAATGATGTCGGTGTGGTCAAGAAAATTAAATCAAATATATCTATTTTGACACAATAGGAATGATTCAAGAGAGATTTCTGAAATTTGATTATAACATAAAAAAACACATCAAAGAGTAATTGAGGAAGATAGCCTATATAAAAACCATAATATGAAACCACCCAGGGAATTGATAAAAACAAAGGCTGCTCCTAAGAAGGTCAACTACTCTTTTCCTGCTCCTTAAATAGAGAAGGAAAAGAGTCGTTGGAGAACTTGCACAAGAGAGTGTTTAAGAAGCTTGAATAGAGACATTGCGATATTTCTTCAAATATTTAATGTCGTTAAAAGCTTGTTTGAAATCCCTTTGCTACAAAAGGAATTATCAGTTGCGTCCCAGCTGACTCAAAGAGAAAATAGAGTTTTAGGTCTTAACGTGACAAAGTAGACTCAGATGTGAACATTGACCTATCAGAGTCACATTGGTCCTTGTGCTTTGACTGACTCAGATTGCGATCTTCAAAAGCATACTTATTCAATGTCTAGTCTTTAGAAGCCGACTCACTCCGACTCTGACCTTCAGACGTTGACCTTTTTAGAAGTTGACTTCTTCAGAGTCTGGACTTCTACTTCTGATCCATCCGATTTTATTCTTTAAGCTTCTCTTTATATGTTCATAATCAGAACCAATACTTTGATTCTTCATGAAATTTTAGTCTATGTTCTTGCGCACTTGAATAAATATTAGTATACCCAATTTTTCTTTAAATACTTTGTTATCATCAAAACTTAAGGGATATGGGACAAACTAATTTTGTTCCAACATAATCATTAAACTCTTTAAAAATTGGATATAAATGGATATTTTCGAATATGCTAAAATAATAGAGTTGATTGTAAACAATTTGGATACATTTTTAAAATATCTTCTTTATTTGCAATAGAATCTTTTGAATATTCTTTTGACTAGACAATATATTTTGATTAAATTATTTAATGATATTTTTGTATATACAAATAATTAAAATAAAATACATAATATTTTGAATTTAATTCACAAATAGTATACAAATATTTTACACAATTAATCATAAGTGTTAAGGAATTTGATAATATTTAATTTTAATTTTAATCATTTATAAAATAACACAAATAAGTGATATGGATTGACAGTGTAAAACTTTTTTTTTATATTGATATTGCATTTACACTCATAAATTTTATGAGATTAATTGATATGTACTGTCGTGTATAATATTTTACGAAGCATTACAACAATTCATAATTGATATTTTAGATCAAAGAAAAATGTAAAAATTTAACGGTTATGATTAATTGAAAGTGAAAAATATTGGTGCATATCAATTAAATTACATATATATATATATATATATATATATATATATATATATATATATATATATATATATATATATATATATGTATGTATGTATGTATGTATGTATGTATGTATGTATGTATGTATGTATGTATGTATGTATGTATGTATGTATGTATGTATGTATGTATGTAACACACACACACACACACACACACACACACACACACACACACACACACACACACACACACACACACACACACACACACACACACACACACACACACACACACACACACACACACACACATACACACACACACACACACACACACACACACACACACACACACACACACACACACACACCAAAATAATCCATTTTTCAATTTATTTCCAAAGTAACCCCACGTTGGGGGTGTGATAGAGAGGGGGCGCCATGTCAATTGGCGGCTGCTTATTGGACCTAAGTGGTGTCGCCAATTGGATTGGAGACACCATATGGTGTTGCCAATCCAATTGGAGACACGGTGTTAAACCTTTTATGGTGTTGCCAATGCATTTAGAGGCAGGGTGCATTGTGTAATTTTATTAATAACAATATATAACATTAATAACTAATTAAAAATAATATTACTTAAATTAATGTTGGCGACCGAGTTCGTCATACCGGCCATCAGTTTTACATCTCCTAGGAACCTCCACTCGTTGCACTCGTTCCCCTCGTTGTCGATTCACTCCAAGTGTTTGAGGAGTTGAAGTCTCAGGAACATTTCCAGCTGATTCTCTAAGAATTTCTTGCATTTCTATGAGGTCTTCGTTGGTGAAAGGTTGAAATGGTATTTGTATTTGAAAGCCATAAGATTGTGGGGATATTTGTATGTGTAGGTTAGAGTATGATGTCTGAGTGATTTGGTTATGGAAAGATGTTTGGGCGTTATGGCTATGATATGATGTACCTTCATTTTGGCTATATCTTGATGTTATGTTTGGGGCATAGCCATATTGGGTTTCTTGAAAGTAGTCATTTTGTTGGAGATGGTATGAGGGACGCTCTTGGTATTATGGTTGGGTGTTTGACATGTTTGGATGGTGGATTTGTGTGTTAGCGGGTTGGTAATTCTGTTGGGTAGGGGGTTGTGAGTAACATGGCCGATAATTTCTCGGTGGGTTAGATGTTGAAACTTCATGTATGTAGATGGTTTATCGTGGATCGTATAGATACCTCTCTTTAAAGACAAACCCAGTTGCAACCGATCTGTACCAAGCCATATAAGTATTAGTTGGTATAGACGAGGTTTCCATCACCGGGTCAAGCAATACATGGGTGCAACGGTTCGTCCATTTACGACGCTCAGATTTAGCAAAATCCTTCCAGTCGAGATAATGTCTCTCGACACTTCTTATTCCCCCCCCCCCCCCCCCTTTAAAAATGTCTCATTCTAACCACTGATGCAGCGCCCTCTTTAGTTGGTTGAAACTTTGAATGTTCCAAAACAACATGCCCATCAGAGGCTTTTCTCTCTCTCTCTCTCTCTCTCTCTCTCCCTCTCTCTCTCTCTCTCTCTCTAGAATAGATGACTTTTCCGTAGCGGCAATGATACATGTTAGCAGTAATACAAAGATATGAGATGAGCTGTGAAAATAAATAATCAGAACACCTCTATTTATAGAAAAAAAATTCACTTTCAAGCATGTCTCCAGTTGAATTGACGACATCCTTGTAACTTTTACACTGGGTCTCCAATTGAATTGGAAACACCGTGTGTTGTCTCCAATCCAATTGGCGACAACACATATCCTTTGTGAAAGGTCGCCCATTCATTTAGCGCCTACTTTTAATCAGTACCCCAAAGTGTGTTACTTTGGGAAATAATGTGAAAAATGAATTATTTTGGTATTTAATTTAAAAAGGTTAATGACTTGAATCTATTTGATTTGGTGCATGCATGTTGAAAGTATGTTAATTTGGTAATTAATTTGAAAAATATGTTATTTTGGTATTTAATATCCTTTGTGAAAGGTTGTCCATTCATTTAGCGTCTACTTTTAATCAGTACCCCAAAGTGTGTTACTTTGGGAAATAATGTGAAAAATGAATTATTTTGGTATTTAATTTAAAAAGGTTAATGACCCGAATCTATTTGATTTGGTGCATGCATGTTGAAAGTATGTTAATTTGGTAATAAATTTGAAAAATGTGTTATTTTGGTATTTAATTTGAATTAACAGGTTATTTAAAAATATTTCTATTCTTGAGGGAGGGAGGAAAAAAGGGAGGATAAACTAAAAAAAATTATAATTTTTGTTTGTCCAACTTAATGAAAGTGAATATGCGAATGAGAGTATATATCATAGAGTTTATTACATAAAGGTTTAATTGCAATTTTGATCCTCTTACTTTTATTATTTTTTAGTTTTGATCTCCCTATTTAAAATCCGGAAATTTTGTCCCTCTATTTTCAATTTTTTTTAGTTTTGGTTCCTCTATTTTAAAATCCAAAATTTTTGTCCATTTATTTTCATTTTTTTAACTTTTAATTCCCATATTATATTAGTTTTAAATTGAAAAGAGGACTAAAATCTAAATAAAACTTAAAATAGGGGATCAAAACTAAAAAAATAAAAATAGAGGGACTGGAATTTTACATTTTGAAATAGGAGGACAAAAACAAAAACAAAAAAACAAAAAAAAAGGAACAAAAAATCCGTATTTTAAAATAGAAGGATTAAAATTCATAGAAAATAAAAATAGAGGGACTAAAATTGAAATTAAGCCTTACATAAATAAGTTAAATTAAAATTAAATAAAAATATCTGTTAATATTTTAAGATGTAAGTAATAAAAGAGACAACCAGGTACTTGTTGGTTTTGACACTTCTAATATAAAAAAATAATAATAACAACATAAACTTATTAAAAATAATCTCAAAAACGAAGTTACACAAATATGGTTCCATCGCCGATGTTTATCCCCGACGTTCTCATCGGCGAGATCTTCTCCGCTCTTCCCGTGAAATCATTTCTTCTATTCAAATGCGTTAGCAAGTATTGCGATAACCTTGTTTCCGATCTCGATTTTGTAAAATTTCATCTCAAGAGATCACCAACCGTAAATTCGCATTTCATACTAAAGATCGATCACAACATAAAAATCTTATATGAGTCCCCCTATGGCAATGACGATGAATATGACGTGGATGAAGCTTTCATTCCCTACTCTGTGAGTAGTTTGATCAAGAATCCCTCTTTCTCCGTTGAAGTCGATCCTTACTACATGGTGAAAAACTACGAATACCGTTTAGTTGGTTCCTGCAATGGATTGGTTGAATTGGAACATGATGTTGGACGAATTGGTTGACCTGAATGAAGAAAGGCTTAATGCCTTTGAATTGCTAAGAAGGCAGAAAATAAGAGTAGAGAAATCATATAACAAGAAGGTTAAGGTGAAATTGTTTTTTCCAGAGGAATTATTTTGGAAAGTAATTTCGCATATGGATCGAAAAGATAAATCCCTGGGTAAGTGGTCCCATAAATGGAAAGGCCATTTTTAAGTTATACAGGTCTTTTCTAATGGCGCATATGAGATTGAAGAATTAGATAAAAATCAAAGAATCTTGAAGGTAAATGGAAATATTTGAAAAAATATAAGCCTGCACTTTGAGAGGTAAGGATAACTAAAGAATAATCATGCAAGAAAAATAAAGTTAAGATGGTAAATAAATGTGCCAAAATGGCTTAATGTCATTACAGAAAAGGCCACAAAGGGCCAAAAGTCGTGATTTGCAAAAGAAGAAAAAATGCTACAGATTAATTTTAGAAGAGAAGAGAGTCCTTCATCTTTTCATACTTCGACCTTTGAAGCATCAGGCGGTGTTCGCAAAGTGTCTTGTTGGTTGAAAGAATTTCAATGTCTTTCCCAAGTTGTTAAGCCTTTTCAAGATGTTGAAGGCCAACTTGGATCTCTTTCGCCACTTCATCTTCGACAGAGCTGAGCAGATTGGTATTGCGTTCCTTGGCCTGAGAGATTTTTTTTTTTGCAAAACAATAATATGTCTCTCCCATTCTGCAATGTTCTTGTCACATTTTTCGACCTCCTTTTTATTCTTCTTAGAAAGCTTCTCGAGTGTCGAGACTTTTTTAGTAGATGCTGAGACAGCCTCTCATGCAGCTTTTTGGTTGCCAGTTTTTGTGAATACATATTAATTAAATTCAAATATTATTAATCGAAAGTGTAAAATATTTTTATATTATGACTGCATATCAATTAAATTCAAATTTTATATAATAATTAGATTTATATATAAAAAATAATAATAATAGCACCATAAATTTATTAAAAATAGCATCGTCCAATAATATCTTCCAAATCTTAAAAGTGAAGTTAGAAAAATATGATTCCGTCGTCGATGTTTATCCCCGACGATTTCATCAGCGAGATCTTCTCTCCTCTTCCCGTGAAATATATTCTCCGACTCAAATGCATTAGCAAGTATTGCGATAACCTAGTTTCCGATCCCGATTTTATAAAATTTCATTTCACCTCTTTGGAGTTCCAAGTTGATGCACTCGGTCAAGATACGCTCGCGGTGAGTAGTGTGTACTCGGTGAAATGGCCTACTGGTCCCAAATGTTCTCGGGAGTCGTGGGGTCTATCTTCTCTTCTTTTGTCCCTGCCGCATCAGGGAGCAATAGACTATTCGTGTCTAGATACTTTGACACTCTCTTGAATCCGCAAGTCGCGGGCGCTATTGGCGACCTCCTTCTCCTCATATTAGATGTAGACATGGGCCTTGTGAAGGAGTCTGTCTAACTTTTGGGCCTTTCGATACCAACCGCCTTGGAGAAATCGCTGTAGGGTCGCAACCCTCGCTCGATTAGGCATCTCTTCATATCGTCTATCATGGATACCTAGACAGTCTCTCGATTGAATCTCTCTAAATAGTCCCAGAGAGATTCTTCCTTCCCCTAACTAATAGCCTCCAGGGATGCTTCCATCTTCGGATGTCGCCGAGAGGCAGTGATGTCTGGAGAACTGTCTCTTTAGCTCTATTTAGGATGGATTAAGGTTCGAAGCTCTTGTACCATGCCATCGCGCCCTTCCTAAGGGTCGCTGGGAAGAGTCTGCATTTCATGGCTGCCCGGAAGTTGCAGTAGTCGAGCATTGCATCGACTTTCTCAATGTTCGTCTGGGTCAGTCATGCCATCCTAGGTGGGAAGACTCGATGGTTTCTCCATCCCGACGGGGAGGCGAGTCTCCACGATGTCCCTGGGCAGCGGAGTGCGGGGGTCATCTTTGTCGCTTCTGGTGTGTGATTGTGACGGGAAAGAGTTGTATTGAGGGCTCCTACCGCGGCGTGGAGAGCTCCTCGGTCGACTCTTCAGTTTCCCTGTCTTCCCGTCAACTTTGCTTCTCTTGGGAGTTGGGGAGCATCACTCCTTCCGGGGAGGGTTCTGGTTGTGCTTATGGGCGGAGGCCTTTCGATCTGCGGGCGACGTCTAGGTTTATGCGACGAGGGGCTTCGAGATTTGTCCCGTTAATGTCTCCGTGAGGGATAAATGAGACGTGTTTCTCGTCGCCTAAGGGACGGGCTGCGAGAAATTGGGTGCCTGTGTCTCCGCGGGGGAGAGTGTGATTGTCGTTCCTTTTTCAGCATCCCGATTTGTTCGCTCTATTGGAACATTATCAGGTTTGTTTTGGTAAATCACCGTGAACAAGGCCGCCATGGTTGGGTCGGCGTTGGGCGGCACGAGAATGGGTTGGAAAACAGTTGGACTGTCGAATCATTGGACGGTATTGTCGGTCGCATCGTTGGAGGAGGGAGAGGCAGTGTACCTTTCCCTGGGGTCACCCTCCTTGGCAGGGACATCCATGTCGGGATCATGGTCGTCGTCGTTGGTAAAGGTGGTAAAAGCAATTTCGTGGAGGTTATTGTCAACGCGTGGGCTAACCATGATCGATGGAAGTTGAGATATGCTTTGGTTCTTTGATTTCTGAGGAAGAAAGAAGGGGGAAGTAAGAGTTTCCCACATACGGCGTCACTGATCTTACCGGACCAGAAAGAGATCAACAGCAAGCAACGCGTCGTGAGTTCCTAGTTCATCGGTGATGGAGAAGAGGAGAGGGTGTACCTAAAAGACACTCCGGTGTCAAATGAGAAAAAGGAAGAGTGAGAAAGTACAAAAGCAAGTGAGTTTAGAATATCTGACCCTCTTGTACAAGAGGGTAGTTATAATGTGCCCTCAGCGCTAGGACAACAATTATCTGTACTTGGTTGAATCTTCAAGCCCAATACGGATAACTGTCAGGATCTACGAGGCACAGGGAAGACCAACACGTGATCTTCGTCATGAGTCAACTGTCCCGTGATCTTCAAAAAGTGGGTGACCTATTCTTTAAGACGCGGGTAGTTGCCTGATGACGTGTTCTCGCATGGAGAGCACGTGGAGACTGTGGAAAATACGTGTGAGCGCTCTCCGTGTGGGTTGAAACATTGAACTTTCTTGGACCCTCCCCGACAAAAAGTTGGGTCGTGCAATGGGATAGCATTTGACCAAATTCAAACAATATATAATAATAAATTTATTAAAAATATCATCTTCCAATAATATCTTCCGAATCTCCAAATCGAAGATAGACTAATATGGTTCCGTCGCCGATGTTTATCCCCGACGATCTCATCGGCGAGATCTTCTCCGCTCTTCCAGTAAAATCTATTCTTCGATTCAAATGCGTTAGCAAGTATTGCGATAACCTTATTTCCCATCCCGATTTTGTAAAATTTCATCTCAAGAGATCACCAACAGTAAATCCGCATTTCATACTAAAGACCGATCACACCATAAAAATCCTATGTGAATCCCCCTATGGAAATGACGATGAATATGACGTGGATGAAGCTTTCATTCCCTACTCTGTGAGCAGTTTGATCGAGAATCCCTCTTTCTCCGTTGAAGTCGATCCTTACTACATGGTGAAAAACTACGAATACCGTTTAGTTGGTTCCTGCAATGGATTGATCTGTTTTTTTGGTGAAAATCTCACAAGCCAGTACTATGAGTTCTGGCTCCGTTTATGGAACCCAGCCACCAGAACAAAATCTTCAAACTTAGGGTTCTTAAGCTTCTTTCATAATCGTTTCGGCTCCGTTAATGATGGTTATTACAAATTCAACTTTGGTTATGATGATTCTACAGGAACTTATAAGGCAGTGGCCTTGCGCTACAATAAACGTGAACTGAGAAGTAATGTTAGAATTCTAAGTTTGGGTGACGATGTTTGGAGAAATATTGGAAGTTTCCCTGTTGATCCTATGTATTTGAACTCAGCTTATCAAACTTCTGACGTTGGTGTGTATTTCAAAAGCACTATTAACTAGAGGTGGCAATTAAATCCATTAAGGCAAAATCCATCCAATCCATCCATCAAAAAATCCATCCAATCCATCCACCACACAAAAAATAAGTTAATGGATTGGATTAAATCCATCCATTTATATGCATGGATGGATTCAATTCATCCATTTATATGCATGGATTGATTCAATCCATACAACATATTTTAAGGATCCAATGGATTATTTTTATTTTCGTTAGATTTATTTTTTTAAAAATAATTTAAAAACTATATTTTTTTTTTCTGAAAAAAAAATTTTAATTTTTTTGAAAAAAAATCTGTTTTTTTTTTTCAGAACAAAAAACTGATTTGTTTTTCGAAAAAAAAACCGACTTTTTTTTTGGAAAAAAAATCAGTTTTTTTTTCATAATAAAAAACTGATTTGTTTTTCGAAAAAAAAAAAAATTCTCGAAAAAAAAGCCGACTTTTTTTTTGGAAAAAAATCGGTTTTTTTCAGAATAAAAAACTGATTTGTTTTTCGAAAAAAAAAAATTTCTCGAAAAAAAAAACGACTTTTTTTTTTGGAAAAAAATCAATTTTTTTTCTGAAAAAAATCGGTTTTTTTTTTTCAGAATAAAAAACTGATTTGTTTTTCGAAAAAAAAACCGACTTTTTTTTTGGAAAAAAATCAATTTTTTTCTTGAAAAATCGGTTTTTTTTTTCAGAATAAAAAATGATTTGTTTTTCGAAAAAAAAAACCGATTTTTTTTTTTTGAAAGAAAATCAGTTTTTTTTTTCAGAATAAAAAACTAATTTGTTTTTGAAAAAAAAAATATTTATGTTTACGAAATTAAAAAAAAAAATTGGATGGATGGATATCCATCCATTAAAAATATGTTAATGGATGGATTGGATGGATTTTATTCTTAATGGATGGATCGGATTGGATAATTTTAATAAAATTTTAGTGGATTTTAATGGACTAATGGATTGTTTTAATTCATCCATTAGCAATCCAATCCATA